CCCCCCCGTGCGGCCGGTTGGCCCGGGCCGTGTGTTGCTGCTGCTCCCGGTGGAGCAGGTGGGTCGGGGAGGGGTGGAGACGCAGCCCCCGGGAGGGGACCGTGGTCCCCCTGGGCCTCTTCTCCGGCTGCAAGTCGGGTTCAAGTCCCTGGCGGTGGTAACAAGGCCTCCTGCTGAGGGGTCTCTAGGCCTTCAGAGCCGCAGGGACTTTAATAGCAAAAATAATAACAGGTTGCATTTACTGGGAGCTGAGAAATGCCAGGGTCAAAGTGTTCTGGATGTACGAGCCGCTTTAGTACCCCCGGCTCCCTTACGGAGTAATTACCGCTCTGTTTGTGCGGGAACAGACGAAGAGACTGAGGTGAGGGAGCCTGCCAGAAGTCATGCAGTAGAGGCAGAGCCCGAGTGCTGGACCCCTGATGTCCACATGGTTGCCGGTCTAGGAGAGTCCTCCTCTAAAGTTGGTGAGAAATGAAAACCCAGGAAGGGGAGAGACTGGCAAGTGACGGGCTTTTGTGAGGACTGGGTGGTAGGGTTTGTGAACCGTGACAGCAGAACTGAGTTGATGGGACCCCCCTGTTCTTTGTGTGTCAGTACTCACCAAGCTTTCTCTGTAACTGTCATGGGGTATGATCTTAGGTTAAAAATATAATGAAGTTTATGATGGTCACCTAGTATAAGGTGAAATCAGCTGCTTTTAAAAAATTTTTTTATTGAATCAAAATTGATTATACATATTTCGGGGGTTCAACGTTGAGATATGTTGGTCAAATCAATATTACTAGCATATATCTTGTTACAAATCGTAATTATTCTTTATGCCCCTTGTCCAATTTCAGCCCCTCCCCCCTCCCTCCCTTTCTCCCCTCTAATTACCCTAGATTTCTTCTCTCTTTCTGCAAGAATAATGGTTACTCTGTTGATTTGTTGCCTAGATGATCTGTCCAATGCTGAGAGGTGTGAACAGGTCCCACAATATTATCTGCTTTTTTATATGCAAATAGTTAAGATTTTAGAATATTTCAGTCGTTAATAACAGGATCTGTAATGTTATTTTTCTTTTCTGTTTTCTCTCCCTGTTAGGGTTTTACTTTTAGCGGGATCTGTCGTGTGACATGCCTCTATGGCCAGGTGCAGGTGTTTGGTTTTACCATCAGCCAAGGCCAGCCTTCCCAAGACGTCTTTTCTACCTATACTCACACTTTCCTGACTATCAATGCAGTTCATTACTCGATGCCTGAGAAAAGCAGGAAGGAGATGAAAAGGGAAGCCCGGACTTTGCTCAGATCTCATCTTAATCTGGGTAATGAAAAGAACTGGGTAATTTACTGAGGGCCTACTATAGTAAGGCTAATACTTTTTATTTTTATCTTTTTACTTTTTATTCAATGTCCAACTCAGTCTTTATTGACTATTTCACTTTGGGGCCACCTTTGTGCATATCAAGGGCCCGAGAACACCCCCCTCAGAAGAGAGAATAAATCCAGTTACAGAACTTACATGGCAGTGGAGAGGGGAGGAGGAAGGGGCACAGCATGTACAGAGGTTTAAGGGGATGTTGGTGGGAAGCTGGAAGAGCTGTGAGCACTCCGAGCACTAGTAGAGGAGCAGCTCCATCTCAGTTACCACCTCAGTGGTGGTGGCAGCCACAGATGGGACAGCTGCCTCTTCCCTACCTCTTCTACCTTTCAGTACGAGTGCTCTAGAGCCACGTGGGCCTGGCCCACAGGGGGCCTGAGGACAACTGGGGACCCCAGGACAACTGGGGTGGGAGCCTTGGTGAGTGAGGCCCAGAGGTGCATCTACAATTGGTTTAGCCAGAGTTCCTGGCTGGCAAAGAGAGCCTTGCAATGCACATACTCGCAGTGGGTGGTGCTGGGGGGCTGGGGGGTGCCTTGGGTGGTGGCTCAGCTGGCACTGCCTCCTGAAGCACCATCATCTTCAAATGTAGCTCCTGGTGCTCTAAGAGCTGGCTGGGTGACATCAGCAGCTGCCCACACTCGAGGCACTGGTACTAGCTCTCCTGCACTAGGGTCTGATAGAGGCCTATGCCTGAAGCTGCCTGTCAGGCCACAATGATTCCAGGGTCGGCCAAACCTACTAGCTCAAAGTGCTGCTGGGGTACATGGGAGTTCTGGTGCTTAAGCACCTCCTCCAGGGAGCCATAGAGTGGGCTTCACCTAAGAGTATACATAGCAGTGCTCAGCATACAGGACCGTCTCTTCTGACTCCTCGGTCATAATGGCAGCAAGGCCCTGGTCCACTTCCACTGTCTCACATGCCCCCCAAAGGCTAATAATTTTTAGGATCTTACTATGGACTACATGTTGCACTAAGTATTTTATCGATTTAAACCTTCACGGGCCGGCCTGTGGCTCACTCGGGAGAGTGCGGTGCTGATAACACCAAGGCCACGGGTTCGGATCCCATATAGGGATGGCCGGTTGGCTCACTGGCTGAGTGTGGTGCTGACAACACCAAGTCAAGGGCTAAGATCCCCTTACCGGTCATCTTTTTTAAAAAAAATTAAAAAATAAATAAATAAATAAACCTTCACAAGGGTCCTGAGAGTGAAAGTACTATTGTTTTCACCATTTTACTGGTAAGAAAAATTGTCCAAGGCTGTGAAGCTAGTACGTGGCAAACCTGGATTGACATCTCTACCCAGATGTGTTCCTATTAGGCAATATGGTTTCCTGAAAAAGACACTCAAATATAATTCCTACTCAAAAAGTTTACAGTTTAGCCAAGGAGATGGCAGTCCTAAAGGGCATAGAAGTTAGTGGAGTTACTGTTTCTAAGGTGTTTTATTTTTCTCTTTACAGATGACAGATGTTGGGCAATGAAGAATTTTTCTCCTCTGTGTTCCATTGTGATGCTAGAACATCTGAAAACCTCCACTGTAAACTTCATAACTAGCTATCCAGGTTTATCTCACGTTTTCGAACAAGAGGTAGAGCCAGTTTTCATTCAGTATTTTGCTAATTACTTGCACCAAAACAATCATATCAAATGAGTATGTAGGATCAGTCTGTCTGTTAGTGCTGTAGGTCTTACAGAGTGTAATACATGTGTACAGATAGAAAATAGTATAGAAAGGTGTGTCATGAAAAGAACTCTTCTCCCCTCCTCGGTTTCATTCCCGCCACCCTTTCATGTTGTAGACGGTTAAATGCCTTTTCCATTTCTTAATGGGTGTCTTTTTTGTTGTTGTTTCGGAGGCTGGTCAGTACATTTAATGGTTATCTTTGTATCTTGATTTGGTAACTAGGGACAGTATAAATTTTCTCTAAACTGTGAATGAATAGTTTAAACGTACTTGCATTTTCTTCCATCTCTCTCTCTCCTCACCTGTAAATTTTTGCTGCCCATATTATTAGATTCTTAAAGTGAGGTTCTGTTACTGTAATTGTCTCCCATGAGCCAGTAGGTTGAGGCTAATTTACAAGACTAGTAAACAGACTGGATATGAGGTCTGAGGAATAAACAAGGAATAACACCAGGCTTTTTGGCCTAATTACTTGGATGCATGGAGTTGCCATTAACTGAGGTAAGGGCACTGCAGGAGGAGCAGGTTTAGATTCGTTAACTTTGAGATGCCTGTTAGACATCCAACTGGAGATGTCAAGTGAGCGGTTGAATGTGTGAGTCTGGAGTTCAGGAAGGGGTTGGAGATGGAAATTTGAGAACTTTCAACAGAGAAGGAAACCCACAGCCATGAGATGGGGTAATAACACTGAGGGCGTTCATTCAGATAGAAACCAGAGGGTTCAAGGTCTGAGCCCTGGGGAAGTCTAGACAAAGATGAGGAATCAGTAGAGGAGCCTGCGAAGGAGGGTCATCAGCGTTAGAGGACAGCCAGGTGAGCATGATGTCCATGTGGGCCCTAGGACAACCGGGGACCCCAGGACAACTTTGCAGGAAGTCTTTAAAGGAGACATGCGTGAACAGCTATGGCATATGCTGCTGACGGTAAGCTGAGGGCTGAGAAAGGAACATTGGATAAAGAAGCAGGGTCTGCACAGAGAGTGGTTTTGGTAGCTTCCTGGAGGGAATAGCCTGACTGGAATAGAGTCAAGAGCCTGGGAGAGGAACTCAAGGGTTTAGTAGTAAAAGATTTTGCTTTTGTAGACTTTAGCTGTAAAGGACAGAAACAAAGCAAAGGTTGGAGGGCTAAGTATGATCAAGAGAGTTTTATTTTTTGTTAGGGTGGGTGGAGAAAACAACATGCTTGAACACAGCAGGTGAGAACGATCCAGAGGAGAGGGAGAGAGCTGATGATGTGGTAGAGAGGAGGGGACGGCTGGAGCCAACCATGAGGGGTGGGTCTGGTTCTGGGATCCGTGTGGCCTTAACACTGGCAGTTCATTCATAGTACCCAGAGGAAATGCCAGAGAGGGCCAGAGGCAAGTCGAAGTTCTCCTCTGATTGTTTCTTGCTATGCTGGGAAATGGAATCAAGGTCATCACTGAGTTGGAGAGCAGGTGGTGGGTACGTTTTAGAGGCTTGAAGCAGGAGGAGAGAGATGAAATGAGAGCGGGACAGTGAATGGACAGTCATGATGACATTTTACTCTGCTGTCGAATCCAGTAGCTTGATCAGGGCCACAGGAGAAGTGAAATCCTGGGTTACCAAGCCTTTGCTACTTGAAAGTGAGTTTTCCAGATGCCATGGATCAAATACTTTCTTTTTTCATTTATTTTCAGCCCCCCCCCCCGGGACTTAACCACCACTGTTGTTTTTACTCAAACTCTTTCTTGGATAACTTCCCACCTGACCCCCACCATATGTCAATACATTCTGTAGCAATTTTTTCATATAAGGCAGATAGTAAACTCTTATAAGATATTCCTATTTTGCTCTCAGTGATTGATAATTGAGCAGAGTGTAGAATTGTAGGTTCAAAAGAGTTTTTTCTCAAAACTTTGAAGCCCTTGCTCTATTGTTTTCTAGCATCCAGTGCTGGCGATGGGAAGTTTCACACTAGGCTGCTCCTCACTTGTTTTATGGTATCTTCATCCTTAGCGTTGATGGTGGCACAAGGACATGTTCATAGTGGGTCCCTTGCTTCATCCTCTTCTGAACAGTGGGCTTTTTCTGTCTGAACCTCACCTGCTTTGGCTAAGGCATGCTCTTCCGTCCCTTGGGTCACTCTCCCGTCCCTTGGGTCGCTCTCCCAGCGTTGCCTGATACTTCTGGTAGAAAGCCATTGGACGTCACGGACCTGCTTTCCACAGCCTTTCAACTCTATTTGTATATGTTCTGTCTTTGTCTTCTTGCTTTATGTTTTTGGAGATTGCCTTGACTTTATACCAGGTCACCAACCTGTTCTACTATTGAACAGGCCTTCTATTGATTTTTTCTTATGGCAATCATTTTTAAATTTCCATGTATTTTCTTTTTCTCTGGAGTCTCCTGCAGAAGCGATGGCAGCTTGGGAGGAAGCATAAGCTGTGGAAGCAGACATGGACAGCTGCAGGAGAGGAGTTGACAGGACATGCTGATGGGGTGGATTTGGGGGGTGGTGAGAGAGAGAGAGGGTTCAAATTTATCTTTTTTTTTTCTTTTACAGGAAAATAAACCCACTTTTATTTATTTACTTTTTATTAGTTTAACTCCTTGAGGGGTACAGTATCACACAGATTCTGTGTCCATTGACCTTAGCACGAAGGTTGCTGGAATTTGGCATGAACCATGCCCCTGTTTCTGTGGGCATGAGCTACCTGGCCCCACATTACTCTGGTCTTGTCTGGTTTGCAGCCATGAGTCACTGGGGCGTTCTTTGCATTGTACACATGAGCATGTCTCAAGTAGAATTTGGTTTCATCTCAAAACTGAACATAAACACCTTCAATTTTAAGAAGAGCTGTGTGCCCCCTTTGGTTCTGGAGATCCTGCTTATAACCAGCAAAAATGGCCTTGGGCCACAGCCTTTCAGACATACTGCCTTTTAGAAGTCCTGTTCCCAGCACACCTCCACAGGTTGCAAGATGGCAGAAAGAGAAAGTTCCCACATTTATTTTTTGTAGCTCACAGTTATATAAGGCTTAGTTGATTTATAACTGAGAAGAAAATTACCTTTTTTTCCATGTTTTCTTATAGTTTAAATTGTTAATTTCAGAATCGGACTTGCAAGATTAATTCCGAATATTTGGCGTTGACATCTGTTGGCATCAAAAAAGAAAAGAAAAGAAAAGGCCTTCATTTAACTGAGAGTGCCCTTTCGGCGCTGGAAGAGTTGGTCAGTGTTTCCTGTGGTGAGTCATATGTAATTGATAAGTCCAGGTGTTCATCCACCAAAGCCTTAGAGGACCACTCCTCATAATTAGAGTCCTAAGGGGAGGGTGGCTAACTCTTAGGGTCAATGTTTGTTTCACTTCCAGAAGAAGTAGATGGCTGCCCTGTCATTCTGGTTTGTGGCCCTCAGGACATTGGAAAGTCAACATTTAATAGATACCTGATTAACCAGTTGTTAAATAGGTAAGACTGCTTTTATTCTTGTTTTGACGTATTGCTAGATTTTTGGCATGAAGTGGGATTTTTGATTTAAGAAACTCGGTGGGAGTGCATCTTGACTTCTAAGTGGAAATTATATGCAACTTTGTGAAGCTGCTAAGGCGAGCAATGACTCCCTTACAGCCCTGTTTTGGGTGGTGTGATGACGCTACAGGGTGGCCTGACTGCCTTGACCTTGGGAGAGCTTGTGACAGGAGACGCTTGGCCTCACATCTGTTTGTCCAGATCATGCTTCTGAATCCAGAGATTCAGAGTGGGGATAAGTTCTGTTGCGTTTTAAAGATAAAATTTTATCTTTTAGAAAAGACTAAGTTGTATCCATGTGGACACTGTGATCACACCTGCAGTACATTTTCTTTTTGGTTTTCTGTTTGTTTGTTTGTTTGTTTGTTTGTTTTTAAAGATGACCGGTAAGGGGATCTCAACCCTTGGCTTGGCGTTGTCAGCACCACGCTCACCCAGCGAGTGAACCGGCCATCCCTATATAGATATACCTGAACCTGTGGCCTTGGTGTTGTCAGCACCGCACTCTCCCGAGTGAGCCACGGGCCAGTCCCTTGACTTTTTTTTTTTTTTTGAACACCAATTGTCATCTTTGGAGCATTCCACCTAAAAGGCTCTGTAGGGTAGATTATGCCTGTGTATTGCATAAAATCTTTACTATATCATTTATCCTTTCTACTGAGTAAAGCTAGTTAAAATTTTCTTTCTTTTTTTTTTTTTTTATTTTCTTTCTTTTTAAAAAATTTTCAGTATTTCCTGCGTTGACTATTTGGAATGTGATCTGGGACAGACAGAATTTACTCCTCCTGGTTGCATTTCCTTATTTAACATTACAGAACCAATTCTGGGTATGTATTATATATTTCTGAAATGTCTTGGTTTTATAAAATTCAAAAGTAATGATGTTTACTGAAAGCTCACTCAAAGAATATGAAGAGTAAACACACTTCTACCAAACTCATGGTCTTTCCATAAATGCTCCTTGCCTCTGAAAAACAAACTCTGGTATTTTTTCATTCTAGGAAATGGAGCTGCCACTCATTTTGTTTTATGCAAATTGTTTTATGCAAAAACATACCTTCCCCTAAAATTAACATCTTACGCAACTCTCTACAGCTGTCTAAACCAAGGAATTAACTTCGATGTAGTACTTTAGGCAATTTATAGATTTTATTCAAAATTCACCAGTTATCCTATTAAAGTCCTTTTTCTGATTCAGAATCCAACCCATAATTCCACATTGCTTTTTTTTTTTGTGGCAGCTGGCCGGTATAGGCATCCGAACCCTTGACCTTGGTGTTACAACACCACGCTCTACCCAGCTGAGCTAGCAGCCAGTCCCACGTTGCTTTTTTTTAAATGATAAAATATACCAGACATATTTGCCATTTTAACTGTTCATTTGTGTGCATTCGTGGGTGACATTAAATACATTCACAATGTTGTGTAACCCTCACAACTATCGGTACCCAATATCTTCTCTAAATATCTTTTTATCTTCTCTAAATGAAACCCTGTACAAATACTGTATTAGTCCGTTTATGTTGTTTATAACGTACATGGAACTGGGTGATTTATAAAGAAAATGAAATTTATTGCTTACAGTTTCTGAGGCTGGGAAGTCCAAAGTGCATCTGCTGGCGGTGACAGTGACCCAGGGGTAGAAGCAGAGAGAGCAAGATGGTGGAAACAGAGCAGAGAGAGAGAGAGAGAGACTCTCCTCTGTCTTCTTTTATTTATTTATTTGTTTTTTCTTAAAAGATGACCGGTAAGGGGATTTTAACCCTGAACTTGGTGTTGTCAGCACCACGCTCTCCCGAGGGAGCCACGGGCCCATCCCTTCCTCTGTCTTCTTTTAAGGCCCTCAGAACCCCATCCCTGACCACCATTTTTACTAATGCACGGTCCTACCATCCAATCACCTCTTCAAGGCTCCATCTTTCAATTACCATAACAGGATTTCCCACCCTCTTAACAGTCACAGGGGGGCCAAGTTTCTAAAACATAATACTTACAATTCAAGCTTCAGTGAGTTTTGGGGGGACATTATTCTAATCCACTACAAGTACTCCTTAAATAATAATTCCCCTTTCCCCTAGCCACAGCTGTTCTACTTTCTGTCCCCATGAATTTGCCTATTCCATGCACCTCATATCAGTGGAGTCATGCAGTACTTGTCCTTCTTTGTCCGGCTCATTTCACTCAGCATAATGTTTTCAGAGTCCATCCATGTTGTAGTATGCATCAAAATTCAATTCCTCTTTATGGCTGAATATTATTACATTGTATGTACATTTCACATTTTGCATATCCATTCAACTGTTGATCGACACGGGTTGTTCCACATTTTGGCTATTGTGAACTACACTGCTATAAACATGGGTATACGGATATCTATTCAAGTCCCTTGCTTTCAGATATTTACCTGGGAATGGAATTTCAGGGTCATGTGGTAGTTGTTTGTTTAACTTTTTGAGAAACTGCCAAGCTTTTTCACAGTAGCTGCACCATCTTATATTCCCAGCCAGCGATGCATGAGGATTCTAATTTTGGCACGTCCTCACCAGTGTTGTTATTTTGCTTATAGCTGTCCTAGTAGGGGTGAAGTAATATGTCATTTTGGTTTTCATTTGCATTTCTGTAATCACTAATAATATTGAACACGTGCTTATTGGCCATTTGTATATCTGCTCAGAGATATGTCTATTCAAGTAAAAATATTGCTAGTTTTTTTTTTTTTCCTTTTTGTCTTTTTCCGTGTCCGGCAACGGATTGCAACCCTCAGTGTAGCGCCCGTACCGGACCAGGACCAGCAACGGGATCGCAACCCTCGGTGTTGCTCCCGCACCTCGCTCAGCCAGTGAGCGGGAACC